CCCAGAGTCGCGCAAACACAATGAACACTATTCGCTCTATTTCCATGTTATCATCGAGATAGCTTAGATAACTTCGGGAGCATTCACATACTTGAGGAATTTGCCATCTTCTCTAAATCGGGACTATTAGAAGTCGAAAGTGCTTTCAATGCTGACTTCGAGTATTCAGACCACGATTAGATATTGGTGTAAATTTGAAAGCACAAATTTCCCGCTTTTAATATGAGCTCATGTGGTTCCAGTTTCTACTTTAGCCTAATCTGTCAATCCGAGTGACTTGACTAGTTATGACATGTTTCAGTGGCATGGAATATTATAGATCTGCTACTGTTGCAATTAATTCAGAGAGATGAGAGAATACCTCTAGAGCAAATCGATGGAATTTTTTAATAGAAAAATTTAACTTGAAACTTTAGTTATGGAAAATGGAGGGGAGGGGGGGGGGTGAACGATTATCAGGATATCATTTCAGTTCCTCATTAATCCAATACATCATGGGTAAAATTTCGAAAACATACATGTGCAAAGAAAATATTTCATTCGCTTTCTAACAAGAACTGATTGCGGCAGAAGGAACAATGGTTTGGTGATTGAAATACCACTCTTTGGCACTATTATTGAGAATTTTTAATACTTCAAAGATAGTACTTTAATATATCTAAAGAAAATACTGAAATCAACTCACGTTGAGTTCATTACGCAACTATATTGAATAATTAGATATTTCAATAGAATTTCTTTCGTTATTTTCAGAAAAGTACAGCTCATTATCAAATACTAGTATTCAGAATGATTGAACTCACCCGCAGGAATATGAATCGAATTTAAAAACACGGGATATTGAAAATTTCCGTTTGACTTTATTGTAATTTCATCATCCATGCCTAAAATTCTACGACATGCCAGCAAAAGATTTCCTCTTCATGTTAAGCATTCTTCCGAAATTCTTTTTTCCAAAACTGCCGAATCTCTCAGCATTTACTGCATAGTTAAAACTTTTCGTCTATGGTTCCCTATTTCTCCAACTGGTAACCTGAACGCGAAATTTTGTTGCACTTTATGGTAACCTGGCCTTATACATAACAAATTTGCTGTTTGCCCTCTTTCCAAAGTCAAATTATGAACTGCACATGTACAGGTTCTATGCTAGCTTGTATTAATATCAACTTGTAGCGGATTGCTACCTTAGTAAAGCCCGGCTGACTCAGAAATCTCTATGGTGGATTCTCCAACATCTAGCTAGACTCCCAGAACCAGCTAAACACCTTAGTAAAGCCTGACTGACTCAGAAATCTCGATGGCAAGATAGTCTCTATGGCAGATTCTCCAACATCTAGCTAGACTCCCGAGAAATCTCTGGCAGATTCTCCTACATCTAGCTAGACTCCCGAACTAGCTAAGCTATAGCCCAGCTATAAAGAAAACAGACGTATAATTCAGCTAAGCTATAGCCCAGCTATAAAGGAAACAGACGTGTTGCTATAGCCCAGCTATAAAGGAAACAGACGTGTAGCACGGGGCGCCCAGCTATAAAGGAAACAGACGTGTAGCACGGAGTACGCTAGCCCAGCTATCAAGGAAACAGACGTGTAGCACGGAGCATGTTTATTTAGGGCGTATATTGCGGATCAAGTGTGTACACGCATGGAGCTACTCATGATCAGGATGGGGGATTAGGTTAAACAAACAGATAGCTATTCACCTCATGATCAGGATGGGGGATTAGGTTAAACAGAGGTTGACGATTGGTCACTGTTTGTACGGTCGATGCACACAGAGTTGTACGGCCGCACCTCCCCAAACCTGGCGAGCAGATATGCAGGCATACGATGACGCACGCAACGATAACGTGTCCCACACGCAGTTCGGGCTTTAAAGTATCAACCTCCTAAATAAAAAATTGTGATGAAAGGTGGTGTTTGCCTATTTGATTATTTTTAATTTAATCTTTTAAATAGTTGAATTGGGAAAAGACTCTGAATACCAGAAAAGATATCTCTACAAAATTTGTGATTTGTCAAAGTGCAAAACGGTACCAATGATAGTAAAACACAAGCCTTTCCAAAATCAGAATAACATAAGCTGAGTGGAGGACAGTACTCATTGACAATCCTAAAGAAAGATCAAAGCGAGATAAGAATTAACTTCGAATAGTAAAAATGAAATTTTGGTGATAGGACTAAATTACGGTATGCTGATCGAATTCGGATGATAAGGAACCGAAAATTGCCATCTTGCAGATAACTGCCGTGCATACAAAAGCAAAAATGTTCTTTCGTTTCTAAACGAAAAATTTTTGGACTTATCAAGGGCATATTTCAAAGTTCGAATACCCTAGGTGACCCGTAGTCGATCTCTTACAAGCTCGAACTGTAATCGTTACCGCTTTGTAATCCAGTGGCAAGCTTATTTGACTGTTATTGGACTCTTGTATGTCAATTTACATAAAGTAAATACACTTTTGTAAACTTTGTAGTTGGGCTCTGAATCGTTCGACAGCAGGTGAAAGCTCAAATTCCTGCAATCTGTGTAGACTTCAAAGTCCAATCATCACAACTGGCTTAAATGGAGATTGGGGATCTTGATAAAAGAATTTATTACGAGACAAAAGGGCTTCCGAGTGTAGAGATGTAGATTATTTTTAGCACTCACTTTGGCCAAAGAAACTCGAATTCATTGCTTAATTCGGATCAGTATAACTGACAATGAGGCCCACCGATATATACAGAACCGGTGACTTCCGATTTAGTAAACTCGCATTTCGGCTTCTAATAAACTGCTAAACTGCGCACATAAGCGCCTTAAATTCAAGTCAGTCTAAATTGACCAAAAATCATCTCACAGCCAAGCTCAACTAAGATAATAAAACGCACAAACGGGCCTCCGATGTTTTAGTAACCAATCCCCCCTCCCCCCCCCCCCCCCCCCCCCCTCGACGTTAACACCAGCTCTCATTTTAACTAATAAGAACCTCCATTCTATTCTCTCATGGTTTCAAATACCCTATTGCCAACTAATCTAGTCCACCACCGAAATCAACTATTCAGTACCAATCCCAACTTTCATTAAAGCGCACACGTGCATACCAAATTTGTATTCACTACACCAGGATGTCAAAGGAATGAAATAATGGTGATAGTTGCAGTTTCCATTCTCTTAGACCTGAGAACGGAAGAATAAACAAACTAACTGGGATCACAATAAATGAACGGCGTAAGCCAGAGAAACCAAGTAGTAGTATGTACAGAGAAAAAGAGTATACGAGAAAGCGATAGAAAGGAAGAGAAGGGGGGGGGAAGGGCGTGGTTTAAGGACGATGATGTCCGCGATTCTGTTGCGCAGCGAAAATAATGGCCTGGGCGAGAGCCTGTTGATTTTGAGCTTGCTGGTGTTGTTGTTGCTGTTGTTGGTAGACAGCAGCGAGTTGCTGCTGAACAGCGGGATTGAGAAGGCCAGCTTGATGCTGCGCTTGCGCTACGGCAGCAGCTTGGAGGCTCAGCAAGTTCTGATTTTGCTGCTGTCGTTGAGTAAGAGCTATTGCTGCAGGATTGGCCTGAAAAAATATGATTAGACGGATAATCGCTTTACAATAACACTTAAATTCACCATTTATATTACTACTTAGCACAAGTATGACCAAATTTTGATTTATTGCAAAAAAATGTGAATGGGAACAAGGGAAATTATAAGGACCCACTTAATTTGGAGAAGAGTAAATGTTTCAGTTCGACATAAAGTTAAGGGCACTGCATTTACCTCCGAAATGTTAACTGAAAACCTCACTGATCAAGTTGACCAATAATCGATCTATCAGATTTG